ATGATTGCACATGTTTTCTTGACCCTTTACATTATTTACGATGTAATCTAACAATCTAAAGAAACTGTACTTGTACGTTTGACTAGGAATTATCAGTTTGCATTATTAATTTTTTCACAATATAATTACGAATAAAAATTGAATAATTTCTCTCTTGAATTAATTTCTATTTCTTATTTGGAATTAGAATCGAACGTAAAGTCGAGGAATTAAAAATGACACGAATATAGGGGAAAAATACCGAAATAAACGAACGGGGAATGGAATGTTTCAAAATTGCAGAATTTCCACGTTGCCCGCGGCTAACAGGTTAACGCGTCGATTATGCGCTGACCTGCATGCCAGTTAGGGCACAAATACCAGCTAGAACAAATATCTCCTTTCCTGATAATTTAAAAAATTTTTTTTAAACTGTACTTAAAAAATATAGTAAAGAATTGTCCCATTTCAATAAAAGTTTGCAAATACGTTTAAAATTTCATCGAATATACCTAAGTACATTCCTAGAAGATCGTTATTAGCTACGACAAATTATATAATTCTTTTCTTCCGGTTCTCTTTCCATTGTTTGGACTCGAAGAAAGGTGAAACTATGAATTCTCAGAGACGCGTAACAGTCTTCAATAGAAGGCATTGTGTTCAATACGAGAGCAGTTTGCAATGCGTTCCTAATTGTTACGTACGCCACGAATTGTTCGGTACCAAACGGGTCGAACGAAACATGTTGTTTATCCGTAATTAATTAGTATGGTTCAATTCGAAATGTCACGCTTTCTCATTTTACAAGCACGATGGAAGAGATCGAACCATAACTTCATTCGCGTTTGACCAAATTGGCCTCTGTAACTGATTCTGGATAAGAAACCGAAACAAGCCAACGATTTAAATCGGTCCTGTCCGGAATAGCTGCTGGGGAAAAGCAGCTTCCCCTACTCTGTCACCGCGTGCAGAGTTCAGGAATTGCACAGGGTGTTTCGATACGATTGGTCGGCGCTACGTATCTCGAAACGAGAAAAGAAGTTCGCGTGAATATGTTTACTGTTCGCTTATGTAACGTGTACCATTCTGGTTCGGGCGGAATCGAGCATCAATTCGAGCTGAGCTTTGAAAGTAATCTCGATTAAACGCGGATAAACGTCGATCAATCGCTTGGATCTCGATTTGAATTTTAGATTTCTGACCGTCGATCAAACAGAATGAAATAGAACGTTCTGAGAGTCAATGAACGCACGAACGCGTCATTGATCGCGAATGTGGATCGATCGAAGATATGTATCTAGACGATTAGGAATAGTTTGACAAATCTTTGTAGCAACGAGTCTATTAGGTATCTGGAAGATTTTTTTATAGAATTTTTCAAGTGGCTTTGCGAGTTAAAGTACGAAGGAGTTGCAGTAAGAAAGCGTGACGATCAAGTTCATTATTGTCGATCGTAATATTGAAAATTCAACAATGAGTGGCAATTCCAATTGGTTTAATATTTTATTGCTTCGATCTTTCTGGGTTCTTTTTAAAATTAAATTCTATATAAATTAAATTCTTTGGGGCCCAGAGATGGCAAAATTCTTGCCTACATCAAAAATTTAACAATGAAATATTTTCGAAATAATCTTCATAGCTCAAAACTTGTTTTCTCGATTTATAAATAAAAATAAAAATTATGTAATAAAAGAGCGTTTAATTGCTTGTTAAAACCTTCGATCTGAATGTTAAAAATTCCAATTTTCACACGATCGAAAATAGAGCCATTTATTGACGGAGATTTAACGCAATATAATTCGAAGGATATTAGAGAAATTGTTGTCGGACCAAAGGACTTTGTTCTCGAAGTATTAATATGCCGTGTAGCGGTCGGTTTTTTATCAGCTCTAGTTAGAGGGACACTTCAGGACAAGTTGTACTCGTAACTCAGTCGTTTTTCTTTTTTCCATAATCGAACCAGGCGTGTCTTGTCGGTTAATTTATATTTCACTTTCTACCGCGGCGAGCATGTAATTCCCGCGACTGTGTGCTCGATCGTTGCACCGCGGTGGCTTAGTCCTGGTTTCCAGATAGGTTTCGTTCCTTTTTCTTGCGGCGATGCTGGAATGTTCGGAGGAAAGGTTCTCTCGCGTCACCTTTTCCCGATTACGGAAACTGCGTTCGCCGTTCGAAGACGCGAAACTTTCCCCTCGGATTGGAATTTCGTCACCGTCAGTCCCCCCGATTGAAAGAGTCAAACTCATTGATCTAATTGTCAAAATTCTACTCGTCGCTTTCTCAAAGAATATTATTCTAATATACAGTATTTATCGTAAAGTGAAAAAGTTTCTCCATGCAAGGTTGAAACATTATTAAAAATGTCTTTATAATATTTAATTTACATTTGAGTTTTTAAAATATTACATATGAATTCTATTTTGTTTCTAAAATTAATTCAATTTTATTTCTTCGAATGATAATGAAGTAAAAATGATAAAATTATGTACAAAATTTGCCTGTGTATTCAAGGTTGAAAAATTAATAAATTGGGAAAGACAAACTTTTTATACTTACTTTGCTCATAAGTTTTCAGAATACTACATATAAATTTTATTTTGTTTCTAAAATTTATTCAATTTTATTTCATCGAATGATAATGAAGTAAAAATGATAAAATTATATAAAAAATTTGTCTCTGTATGGAAGATTGAAAAATTACTAAATTGAGAGAAACAAACTTCATACTCTACACTTAAGTTTTCAAAATATTACATATGAATTTTATTTTGTTTCTAAAATTCATTCAATTTTATTTCTTCGAATGATAATGAAGTAAAAATGATAAAATTATGTAAAAAATTTGTCTGTGTATTCAAGGTTGAAAAATTAATAAATTGGGAAAGACAGACTTTTTATACTTACTTTGCTCATAAGTTTTCAGAATACTACATATAAATTTTATTTTGTTTCTAAAATTTATTCAATTTTATTTCTTCGAATGATAATGAAGTAAAAATGATAAAATTATATAAAAAATTTGTCTCTGTATGGAAGATTGAAAAATTACTAAATTGAGAGAAACAAACTTCATACTCTACACTTAAGTTTTCAAAATATTACATATGAATTTTATTTTGTTTCTAAAATTCATTCAATTTTATTTCTTCGAATGATAATGAAGTAAAAATGATAAAATTATGTAAAAAATTTGTCTGTGTATTCAAGGTTGAAAAATTAATAAATTGGGAAAGACAGACTTTTTATACTTACTTTGCTCATAAGTTTTCAGAATACTACATATAAATTTTATTTTGTTTCTAAAATTTATTCAATTTTATTTCTTCGAATGATAATGAAGTAAAAATGATAAAATTATATAAAAAATTTGTCTCTGTATGGAAGATTGAAAAATTACTAAATTGAGAGAAACAAACTTCATACTCTACACTTAAGTTTTCAAAATATTACATATGAATTTTATTTTGTTTCTAAAATTCATCCAATTTTATTTCTTCGAATGTTAATGAAGTAAAAATGATAAAATTATGTAAAAAATTTATCTCCGTATTCAAGGTTGAAAAATGACTAAATTGAGATATAAAAATTTTATACTTTACACTTAAGTTTTCAAAATATTACATATGAATTTTATTTTGTTTCTAAAATTCATCCAATTTTATTTCTTCGAATGTTAATGAAGTAAAAATGATAAAATTATGTAAAAAATTTATCTCCGTATTCAAGGTTGAAAAATGACTAAATTGAGATATAAAAATTTTATACTTTACACTTAAGTTTTCAAAATATTACATATGAATTTTATTTTGTTTCTAAAATTCATCCAATTTTATTTCTTCGAATGTTAATGAAGTAAAAATGATAAAATTATGTAAAAAATTTGTCTCTGTATTCAAGGTTGAATAATTACTAAATTAAGAAAGACAAACTTTCTACTTTACACTTAAGTTTTCAAAATATTACATACTTATTTTATTTCATTTGTAAAATTCGTTGCTCAATTTTATTTCTCCGGAATAACAATGGAGTGAGAGTGATAAAATTATATATTATAAAATGTAGAATGATTAACATCGAAGGTATTTATTTTCAAGTTTGTATTTCTTGGATAGTAGTAAAAAATTTGAATTTCGCGTGAATGGTAAAATTGCTCTGTTGGATTAGTAAAAGTACAGGTTACCGTTACCTTGAGGAACATTTTAACTTCGTTAGCTCATTAAGAATGTAGTCTATTTGAAGACTTGGAGCTGCTACTTTCCCTTGTAGCTATGTTGCACCAATCGAGAGATGCAATTCCATATAAATGCATACGGTACAAAGCATGTAGCACGTAATCGTACATGCTCCTGCATCGAGTTCCGCCGTATTCGATAATACTATACTCGTTCCGAAGTTCCAGTAATTAATATACGAAAGTGAGTATTTAAAATAATATCGCTATCACAGATTCTTATATAGTACCTAATATTAATAGCAGTAATAACTGAAATCATTCACATTAATATTTCCATAAAACCGTTGTGTCTTAATGGTGTTTTTATTAAATATTAATTGATTCATTAAGTTGTATCAATTATGAGCTACTTCCATTTGCTGTCACGATTAAATAGATTTTATCAACTGTGCACTAAAGCATTTTGTTCTCTTTCATTTCTAATTTGTCTAACTTGATTTCACTACTACATCAAATTTAAATATTGCAATATTGGAACAGGAAAAGTTTATTTTTGAATTATCACACGTGTGACAGCTGGTATCAAACAACTATTTTATTTAATCCCTGAATCAAACTATCATCAGTTACAAGTACTGAATATTTTTATTTTTAATTGTTTTATATTACAGTTACAAATTTCAAGGAGTGATTATTTCTTAAAATTCTTTTTTGAAAGACGTTGGAGATTTTGTTACGCAGGGAATTTTAAACAATGCACACTGTATCATGAGTTAAAATAAGATAAAACGATCGTGTAGATGTGAATTACTATGTTTTACAGATTTTACTGCTGACAGCACTTCCTATGTGCTTGGCACAATTCACAATACAAGGATCCACAGACGGGGATCGAGTTGCCCAGGGTTTAAGGGTTGACGACGAGAAAGGACTGGAGTACATAAGAGGAAGTGGTAAAACATACCTTAAATAACTTATGTACTGCAACTATTGTTACTATACAAAATACTCGACGTAAAATTCGCAAATTTTACTAATTACATGTACAAGAATTTGTACTCTATATTTAATAATTCATTCGTGTCAGGAATATCAAATCCATTAATCTGAAATTCAACGTTTGCTTTATCCTGTTCAATTTTTAATTTTCCAGACTCATCGGGTGGCTCTAGTATTCAGGGCTCCACCGACGGTCACTCCAATATTCAGGGTGGTAACGACGGTCACTCGAATTATCAGCTTCAAGGTGCCACTAGCGGCGGTGCAGAAAGATATTTACAATCAACTACCCCCGAACAGTTTAATATTCAAGGACCTTCGGATGGTTACGGACAATCAGGGTACATCCAGGGTACCTATGACAGCATCCCGTCTGCTCCAAAGTCTCTTCAATACAACGATCCTAGTGGTAAATAGTTAGTACACTCGAGTAAAGATAGGATTATTATTGCAAGTATTCGAAAGATTCAGCACGATCAACTCGTTAGATTCCAAGTATAAAATATTTCTAAATATGTTTAACATTCCGATTGGTCATCGAGATATTTATTTATTATTTCTAATCAGTTGTTACATACTCATACCAGAGATTATTTGACCATCGACTTCCTGGAGTATCTAAAATATTAACGAACTGTAAAATTATTTTACTCCTAAAAATATAATTTTGCACGAGATTTCTTATGTAAAGGTACATTTCATAATCTATATACTATATTCTACAAATGGTATTATATTGTATATATTTTGACAATATTTTCCAGCACCCTTGCTCCTATTAGATCGAATAATCGAACTATTAGAGCTATATGATGCAATTAAATGACAATTAATCTGGAACTGTGGTATTGTTTAAAAGGTCTGAGAGTGAACTGGAGATCGTACGATCGTACACCACGGCCAGTACAACAGCCACAAGCGCAAGAGCAATATTCAGCCCCAGTCAGCGCTCCTCAGCCAGCACCCTATCGTCAACGTCCACAGGCACGACCACAACATCAACCACAACCACAACGAGTATCACAACAACCCGTGTTACCGCCAGCGAGATCTTTCGATAACGCCCCCTCACACATCAAGCAAATCCTTCAATATCAACAACAACTTCCGTACACGAACATCATCCCTGAACCCTATAGGTAATTTATCTAAAATTCTTCCTCCCTAAACTGTGTGTAAATAATGATTACTTCTTTTGGCTTGTAACGATTCTTAACGATAACTAAAAGGATGAAAGGATTGTACAATATAATTGATATTACTGTCACGATCTATTTGCGATACGTGAATTTTTTAAATGTGTAGGTACGATTATTAGTGATATCTATTTGCGATACGTGAATTTTTTAAATTTGTAGGTACGATGCCTTATTAGCAGCGCAGGCGGGCAAACAACAACCACAGTATCAAAACGAAGCCCAGGATCAGTATGAACAGGAGCCACGACGTCCATCTTATCGTGGAAAGTCTAGGCAGAGACGACAGACGCGTCAGAAACCGCCAGCCGAGCCTCAGATTAGGTACAACAACAATCTGCCACCCACTATTCAACAAGTGTTAAAATTCCAAGCACAGACACCGTACATCAACGGAATCCCCGAACAGTTCAGGTAAATTTCATAATCTGTTAATAGTCCTTGACTGGTACGATGGGGTCCAAACTGACCTCAAAAATCATTGAATTTTCCCAAGCGTTGTTTTCGACTAAAATTATTAATTACATCTGGACGATTACTCGTGAGTTTGAAATTTACTGTTTCGTATATTAATAATAATTTAGTCGATACTCTCCTGGAGCAATTGATTATTCCAGTTATTTACGTTTTAGTACATTTGTATTGTTAATTTAAAAAAAAATTTATGTATAGAGAAGGTTATTAATACGTTCACACAATTTTAATTAAATTTTATACTTGTATTATTCTAATTAATTGCCCAAAGTATAGTGCTGAAAGAACACTTAGTATGATGTACTAAATTTGCTAGCAGTAAGTGTGCTACAACAAGAATAGTCATGTAAGATAATTCTAGCCTTTCTAAAAGATACTGGACTTTCTCATTTGGTATAGTTATGGTTTTGCCCCACTGATTATTTGACCGTGGCAAAGAAACGTAGTCAGTAATAACATTATATGGCGCATGAGACCTTAACGTATTAACTTAACAATACTTGTCAATTGATTTCAAACGAGCTCGAATGCAGATTGAATCAAGTTTGATCAATTATTCAAGCTACTTGCCTTTAAATCTCAAGCACTTGAATATTTAAATTTGCTCACCTAAGTTTAAATATTTGAACACATTGAATTCTCTCAAGTTTGATGAAACATTCAAGCTGCTTGACTTGGTTTGACTTGGTTTAATTGTGAAGTACTCAAACATTTAAATATGCTCCCCAAAATTCAAATATTTCAATTCTCATTTAGACTGAATTTTCTCGAGTTCGATCAAACATTCGATCTATTTGACTAAATTTGAATCTCGAATACATAAATAATCCAGTTTCTCCACCGAAATTTCGTACACAGCTCGTTCGATTACTACTTTAGTCACCTGGAAAACCTTACAAATTCTCAGATTTAACGAGGAAGCAGCCGTGGAAGAGCAAAGGCAGCAGGTTCAAGCTCACTTTCAACAATTAGCAGCGGAGGCAGCGCGTCCCAGGCACAAGAGGCAAGCGCAGCATCGTCAACCGCAACCCCAACCGCAACGACCACCTCAGGAAGTTCAGCCCCAATATTCGACCAATCTTCCAGGTTACATTCAAGAGGTGTTGAAGTTCCAGTCTCAAATTCCCTACAACATTTTGCCCAATCAGATCGCCATTCGTCCCGAGAAGCCTTACGTGCCTCAGCCCGTCCAACCTTCTCCGCAACAAGCGCAGTATCAGGGTCAATCGAACGCGTATCAAGGTCAAGCGGACCCGTATCAAGGCCAACAAAGTGCATACAACGAAGCGTACAATAATCAGGTGTACAACAACCAGGTTCAACAGTCCCCGTTGCAACATTCTCAGGGACAGTCTCCGTATCAGCGAGCAGGGGACGCGGTTCGTCCCGTAACTGAAAACCAGTACTAAAGACGTTAAACGATGCATCGATTTTTCTCCTAATTGGACGTTCATCTCGTTATCGATCGATCAGGCTACGTGAATCGATATTTTCGAAAAGGAAACATGGCTGAAAGACGAGTACACGGGTTTGCTAGAAGAATTATCGCGTCGAGAAAGTATCATAGCTGCGGAGAGTTCATCATTTCTCAAATATGGACGCCTACGTTCCGTTCAATTCATCGAATGGGAATTCATTTTGTTGTTACTTCGTTAGACATCGACTTAATTATTTGATAAATAAACGAATAGAAATTAAATGCGTCTTCTAATTTTTACGAGTACCGTGTACCAACGAGACGATTCTAATTTCGTTTTGATTTCGAGAGTTGATTTTTGTAAGCATAATTCCTCGAGAAGAGTTTATCAAGTTAATATTTATTTCGACAAGTTACACTGTTTTCTATTTTGTTACAAAGCTGTCGTTGATGGTGGATTTCTGGAAACATGTTTGTGAAGATGGGACAAATTGTTATCTGAATAAAAATTTGGAATAACAAACAAAGAATGAACTGTTTATTCGTTATTCGTTCAATAAAAATGATAATCTGAACTACAGAATGAAACAAATAAAAATTTAACTGTTCGTTCCGATAAACATTATAAATAAATTACGTTGAATAAAATTTTGCCCACCTCAAAATTACAGCAAGTTTCACGTTAATAATTATAATAATTCCATGTAAATTTAAGAACATCACCCACAAATGTTTAAGTCTAATATGTTTTACGTGAAGAAGTCTTTCTAATTTAATTTTTCGTTCTAAATTATCATAATTACTTTGGACACACTATTATTAGTTAACATACTAGACCAGGAGTACTATAATTTTATTAATATGGAAATGCAATATATTACGCTTTTCGAATGTCTCCTGCGTTCAAATATGGCGGAATTCTAATGTGCGAATAATTTAAATAGCACAGCAGTGCATAGAACGAATTGTTGCAACGGGAACAATTTAATGCTCGAGGAATTTCGATGTATCGAGGTCGAGATAGAACGTAAATGTCTCATGGCAATATATATTTTCTCGAATGGTCAAACAAGACGAAATACACGAACGAAAGAAGCGAGCCACTTTGTGATGTATCTCTGTTCCTCTTCTATGCACAGATTTAATGAACTAAGAGTGTTATCTAATAAACTCGTCTGTTTTTATACCACCACGTCTTTAAAATATATAATGTTAAAAAATAGCCTCGATCAGTCACCTCGAACGATAGCAAAGCGAGCATAAGAAACTCTCGATGGAAGTGGGTCAAGTGCACAGGTGTTACGTTTAATTTAAATATTGTATATTAACGCGACTGGCAATATTATCTAATTATTAATAAAAATAATGGTGACACGTAATTATTATATTCCGATATGCTTTGCTATTATAAACCATAAGCACAATTAATGTAAAAATTAGAGTCCTGTAATCGCAGCTCGTTAAAGAAATTGCACTTGATGGAATTAAATTGCACAAAGTTTCGTTTCGTCCATGCCAGACGTGATCCACTTTCGCTAAAAACTGTGTAATCGTCGGAACGGATTAATAATTCAGAAAGTTGCTCTAATTGTTTTAATGTCGGGTTTCGTCTAGGCAAAGTGTGCAGCCGCTGGACGTATTAATAATTAACCGTCGAAATCGTCTATTTAACGGTGCATTAAATTTTTTAGCGCGCGTCGAGAAATGGAACGGAGAATGTGGAGCTACGTTAAGGTTAACCGTGCCACGGTTTGCACTTACGAGTACGTGCACCGTTCAAATCGACGCTTTTTACAGAATATAAAGTGTCCACGGCGCATTTTGAGCGAGATATTAATGCGATCGACTCGAGAATACGGAAGTGACCGATGCACGTGCTTCCTGCAACGATCGACCGTACCGTTACGTGACTAGAAATACGTGTTTTACTCGCGCACAACCATTGACTCGTGATTTATATTTACGTCGTTATCAGTTTTCGATTAAACCAGACTTATCGAGTTTCTGTGCAACTTTTAGTTCCATTCTCCTTGCTTTAATTTAAGCCCCGCAAGTTTTCGATCAACGTTTTATTATTGCGGTGTGTACCAGTAGCTGACAAGCTTTATGATATGATTCAATAAAGAGAAGAAAACACGAAGGGACTGTGCGTTTCTACCTCCACTGAGAATCCAGCTTTCTATTTTGTATTTTAATCGTTAGAAATTATTAAATTCTGGGTAAAATAAATATCTGGTTTTTGAGATGCTGGGAGAAAGATTGAACGTAGATTTTAATTAATAAATTACTTTAGCTCTGTTAGAGTTTATTTAAATTTAAATTAAAACGATCTTAAAGTTACATGCTTATTTTCTGAAGTGTACATTTCTTGTTACTTTTCATAATCGATTATCGAACGTCACAGTGTAAATTATTGTACTCTTCATCGATCTCCTATAGTAATTTTATTTTTATTATTATTATCGTTGCCCAAGTAAATTTCAATCTACACCGTTGTCCATTGCCTTCGAATGTAAAAGTTGATCGAAAGATTTTTACGTAACTGTGAATTAGCTTCTGATATAATACATATTCGAGAAAAGTGGTTCTGGCTTCTGGTCTGCGTAACAAGGACTTCGCTCGGAAAATTATTTGAACGAACTGAGACTTCTAACTATAGTTTATCGCAACTTTAAATACTATTAATGATTTTATTACACGTTACAAATTCCAACTATTGTCCACATTTGGGTTTCTTTCGGTGGTATCGTCCACCACAAAAAACAGGTTGCTCACGACTAGTTTAGGGCAAGGGTGACCATAAGGTTCCTCACAAGTTAGGTGACCAGCGATTAGTCCCAGCTCTGCATAGTAATCAGAAAGGGGGAGAGTTTTGTGCTTCATTGGGGCAAGAAAGTAGGGGAAGAAGCCACAATTGGCCAGTTCGTCACTCCTGGTTTAGAGTTAGTGTAATTATTGGATTTTTCAGACTATTGTAAACTATATCTGCCACGTTTGATAAAATATATTTGTTGAATTATAATTATCATTACCCCCAAGAAAGTGGGACGAAATACGAGAATGTTATTACCTAATCAAATAGAAGAAATACAAAAAATTGAATTTTCATTGTAGTTATTATGATGGGTAGTATCGTTTCAATGTTTTGAATATCGCTATAAAGAAATTTCCCCCCTTTTTATGCCTGGTGTAATTGTTTTCTTAGAAAGAGAAAAATTTTTCACTTTCACCGTGCCTCTGCAATATTATTTACGCACAATTATGGTATCTTCAAGATAATGAAACCTTTAAGAAGGCATTTTAAGACCTCTAATAACAGCTAATCGACACCTTATCCGGTACTCTAGGTTCAAGGAACTCTATGGAAAACCAGTTTCTTAAAAAAAGAACTCGGTTGGGTTAATTATGTCGTATATCAGCATATCTTGTATCTCTAGGTTCAATTATGGTAACACTAATGTCGCATTTCGTGTACACGTGACACACAGAACTTTGGAACGTAATTAAAAGGTTTCCTTTTTTGGCAACTTTGCAATATTTAATTTTGAAACGTTTATCGATTGCATTTTTTTAAATCGGATTCCCCGTGATAGTGAAACATTTTTTACTATCTCGTAGAAGTACTTGCGTAATACGTCTCGTGTGGTAATGTGAAACACGAGATTACTATTTGCAAGCTACGTGATAAGTACAGCGTGTAAAAATCAAAATGGCATTTACATTTTAATAGCAGCAACTTTCTCGTGGCTCTAGAATCTAGATGTTCACGGTATCACACAGGATAAATAGTGTAATTTACAAATAAAATAATTGTATACCTAGCTACTTAGAGCAACATTATACGATTATTAATAAAAAAATAACCTGTGAATTTCATGCAAAGAAATTCGAAATTTTATTACGATTAGTAAAATTCTTTAACTTTTAAAAATATCTATCATATTTCATACGATATTTCATGAACTTCTGTAAACTGGCTAAACACTACGATTAAGAGACAATATCAGAACACACTATGAAGCTAACCTCAATAATTTATAATTAATTATGTTGATTCTAATTAAATTTATTGAATTTCAGATTCATCCACTAAGATTTATTAATTTTATTGATTTCAATTAAATTTAATTCAAAATTAAAGCTCTAAAATTGATGGAAAATATTCATCACTTTGATCAGTCTTAAGGGTTAATAAAAAGTCTTTTTTCTTCAGAAAACCTGCCCACAGGGTCAAAGTCCAGAAAGAAAAAGTATTATATATGACTATTATTAAATAAAAATTTCTACCTTCTAATTCATTTAAAGCAACTACTTGTGTTTGGAATTTTAAAAGCAAACATAGAGCGAGTCTCATTCTTGAAACAGATTTTAAACAGTTTACCGGTTACGTATTGAACTATAATTGATAGTTTAAGCGAACCATAATAACATGGAGCCAAACTGTCGCTGTCCTAGGTTTTCCAGTGCAACCAGCTCGATCGTTTCCTGGGTAGCAACGACTGAAACGTTGCATTCCACGAATACAGGGCGCGTATGTTACGTGACGAACGTGCAGGGGACCTATGCGATAAAAGAAAAAAATCAGTCGAAACCGACCAACCGTGAAAGTTAGTGGTTGGCCGGACCATTTACCCTGGAAACGCTCGCCCATATAGAAGTGCGTCGCGACACGGCCGCCAGTTTCGTCCAGCTACCATCCCGAAATCACCTACACCTTCGCCATGAAGTTCCTCGTGAGTACAAATCAATTTTTATATCTTTTCTTCATCGCTTACAATCATTATCTTAATTCGTCTTCTCGCGTAATTGGAATACAATTAAAAATCCCAATCGAAGCGAACCATTTCACATTTTACATTTATTATATATCATTTAAAAATATTGATACGTGACTTTTTTACTACTGGTATAAAATATTCTATCCTGACAATGATCCTTATAATTTAAAAATTGTAAAAGATAAATAAGTAATTTTTAGATATTTCAGTTTTGAAAAGTCGAGTATTTAATGTGGATTAAGAATTTTGTAATCTTAGGTACATGTTTAACGATTAGTTTAATATTTTTATTACTTCAATTTATTAAATAGATATTGCAAATCTTTGTAGTACGTTTGGTAATCATGGTTATGGGTAGACTCTGATGCATAGTGTTATGATTTTACTAACAATTAATTTGATTCCTTTACTACTGGTATAAAATATTCCTCTTTGTTCACTTAGTTGAAAATATTTTGATAGTTTACTTGGAATATTATTTATAAATTTATTCCTTTGCAATGAGTTGTGTTAGATTTATTACGTCTATGTCTTTCTATACGAATGGAAGGAAGTATCATTTTAAGAATATTAAAAGAGCCTTTTTACTGGTGATATAAAATATTCCTCTTTATTGATAGTCTCCCCTTTCTTTATTTCGTTGAAAATATTACTGGAAGATGAAATATTTTAAAAGTTTACTTGCAATATTATTTATGAAACTATCTCTTTGCATAGAGTCTCATGTTTTCTTCAAGTGGTTAAACATTGTTGTGAAATCTTTTTGAAAATAAATTAAACATTCAATGAAAATTAAACAGTGTTTTTGATCTAAGTTCGTGCTCTATAAATAAAATGAACGTATGAAAATTTGCAATTTGACAGAGACTTTTGTAAAAAATTATTTTTCTATATATACAATTTATCTTTTCAATTGTAACCTTCACTGTGGGAGTACTAAATTTACAGCGTAAATTATGTTGCACGAGTCATTGAACTCTCCACTCAACCTCAAACTTGGCTTCTTTTACCATTAACATAAATTTCATATTATTAAAATTTATATCAAGAAAGTCTCTTTGGTTCAATAAAATTCTAAACATTTCATTTTCATTTTAAATATTCATATAATCACTAAAATTTCGTCCATACGTTAACGTATTTCATAATTTGTTAAATATTGTTAATTTTAAAAGTCACCATTTGATAATTTTACACTTTCTGGTGAAATGTACTAAAGGATGACAGCTTTCGACGCGATTTCTCACGTTAGTGAAATAAACGCACGCAACGACAAATGATTAGAAAGCTCCTAGATAGGAAACACACATAGTCTACGGTTTAGCCGTAATCCATGGAAATTTTTTAACACACTTTCGACCTGGTTTCCGTTATCGCGAATGTCGAATCGCGTTAGCATTTGAAAGGTGTGTACCTATCAAATGCTTTCATCCTTTCCCTTTGTGAGAACTAGCTTAGATCGTGTCATTTCGGGCACGCGTGTAAGTATGTTGCGCGCAATGGTGTGCATCGTGAGAAATCGGTACAGTGTGTTATCTAGCTTTCTCGATCGGGATCGATATTTTTTCATTCGCGTTCCTTTATTTTTACGTGTACGAACGATCGTGATATTTAAAGAGAATTACTTATACGGACACGTATCATAAATCCTTATTTTGGAGTTAATTTATATTATCGTGATTAAGTGAAACGAGAGTAAACTGGGTCAAGTTAGAAAGAGTGGCCTTTTGTTGTTTCGTGTCATTAATTTTTGCGTTCTTTAATATTCATTGGATGTTAGAAATTGGAGAATGTGAAACTGAGTAGCACCTATAGGGAAATTTATATTACGAGTTATACTTATTTGAAAAATTAGTAAATGTATTAGGTTTCTTATTTAACATTTTTCTATTTTATTGACAAAGCTTTGGTTATCAAAACTTTGTTATGTTATCGTTACGGGAGGCTTTGAAAATCGTGATATATTTTTCTCAAATTAAACATATTAATTAACAACGAATGAGAAGAAGAATCTGTGGTTTTGATAAATATATAAAAATTCAACATTGTCAGATTTAATGGTTTCAATGATAGTAAGTAGGTCGTTTACTCTATTTAGTTAAAGTTTCGAACAAGTTGAAGGTCATACAGTTTAATTAATAAATAAAAGGAATGTTAGGATGTACTGATAAATATTATAAATTCTAGGTTTTAGTATTAGCTGTGGTGCCTATTTACGCCACTGGCGATGTGTTTGGAGACCTTTTGGGACAAGAATTTCAACAGTTAACTGTTGGTAAAGTATATTTTTTATATATTTCAAACGACAATAAATAAATTTTCAAGCAAAAATTATTTATGTATTTAATCACCGATCATTCTATATGTTTTCAACTTTTGGATTAACGAATCTACTGTAGAAAGAAAACTCAGTTCTTCGAGGCGTTACTAACTGTGCTGGATCAGACGTTTTAATCAGTTTTCCAAAGGCTATAATTAACAATTGATTATTAGGATCTAATTGCCTTGCAATTACAGACACATAAAAAATCTGTAATTTGAAGGAAAGAAATTACAATAACAAATACAGAATTGTTATAAAATAAGTTCAGCGTTTCTCAGAATTAGGAGACGTGACATTCAAGAATCTTTAGTTTCTAGTGTCTCAAAACAGTTTAACAACACGTATTAAAAATAGTTAAACTTTACATGTGTGTAATTTCGAGGCTACTAGTGCTTTATAAATATTTGAGCCGTTGTTAGAAGCGGCAAGGCTTCCTCTTTGAAATGGCTTTTGGTTTTTGTCGATCCGATTATCCGTTTTGGAGATATCGTCGTGTAAAGGAAAGTGTAATTTTTCAATTTCCACTCTATCTGTCTCCGTCTTACGCTCGGACCTCTTGTTCTCTCTCCCTTGCTCCCGCGATATCCGTCTTGGACTAGGCTAAGAATACGTATTAAAAATACTAAAACTTTAAACGCGTACAGTTCAAAAACTACTAGTGTTTTATAAATTATTGGGACACTGTTAGAAGCGGCAAGGCTTCCTCTTTGAAATGGTTTTTGAATTTTGTCGATGCGACTTCCCGTTTTCGAGATATCGTAATTTATGTAAAAGGGTATTTTTCTTAATTTGACTATCTCTGTCTCCGTCTGACGCGTCGCGTCGGGCCTCTCTCTCGCGCGTGAGTCGGACAGTCGCGTGACGCGAAGCGTAGTATTTCCAAGAATTTACTACGCACTGTTTACTATTTTCACGCGCGCGAGTTCATTGATCTCAATGAACGTAAACAAAGCTTCGGACCCTTATATCTCCGTAGCTAGCTACCGCATCGACTTGAAAATAAAATCCTCATATCTCCGGAACTAATAAAGCTATCGACTTGCACGAACGCTCATTTTAAAGGGCATTTCATTCTCTATCCTATGAACGTAACAATTACTAGAATTTCAGCTATCTTCTATGTTTATTTTGACATTAACTTTGACGCTTAACTTGAAACAAAAATTGTCATATCTCCGGAACTAATTAAGCTATCGACTCGTTTAAACGCTCGTTTTAAAGGACACTTCATCCCCTACCCGATGACTACATCAACTATTATTATGCTATCGGCTTGTTTGGAAGCTTGTTTTAAAGATTTCATCCTCTACCTAATGATCATACCACCTACTATAATTTTTGCTATCTTCTATGTTTATGTTCACATTTACTTTGACGCTACAACTTGTGTGCAACCACACTGAACTATAAATTATTTATTTAATTGAAAATGAATCTAAATTTGTCTACAGAATGTTTGCTTAATTACTAGGCAGCATTTTTTCGAAAATAATTGTGTTCTCCGGAACTAACCATGGAATCGATTTGAAACAAAATTCATTTTCAAGGGCGTTTTATCCTCCATCTGATGTAAATTAACACACTTCGACGTAGTTTGTAAATTTTCTATATGAAGTTAACACTAGATTTACGAAAACCGTCAATTTGACGGGTGTCTGATTCCATATTTAAAATTGCAGAACGCGTAAATATTATTTTTTAACAACTTATGTTGAATTTGATTGATGCACTGGCATGAATACATATTCTAATTAAAAGGAAAATCGTATTATATGGTAGTCGTCAACATGAAAGGTGTCAATAAATATACGCGCGATCGATGCCCGTAAATCTAGTGTTAAATAACGCTTTAAGAAAAAATATGCGACATAAAAGAGAAAGACGTCTAACGAATAAACTTCAAAACACAATATTCTACACGTATAATGCACAATTTAGGAGTACGTTACAACATAAAAGAGAAAAGACTGATCATTTATCCAGTTATGGTTGGAATGGGAATACATGAAGTGTCGGTAGATTTAGTGTTAAACAACCCTTTTAATTTTCCAGACCACGTTCGCGAGAGAAGGCAGGCTCAAAAATACAATCCATTGAGTCAAGCTCCGGCGCACATACAACAGCTTCTGCAAGCACAGAATGCTCGTCCGCCGCTGGTTCACCTTCCTCCACAGCCAATCCCGAAGTTTGGACCACCTCAGCCAGCGCAACCATCGCAATACCAGCCACAAGTCTCGTACGGCTCGGGAGGCCAGCCACCGAATTACAAGAAACCGATTGCCCCCCAGCAGCCTCAATACCGCCCCCTTCCCGCTAATTACGCCCAGCAAGCTCAACAAAACTACAACGCGGCGCAACGGCAACCTTCCTCGAAGCTGCCGGCTCACATTCAACAGCTACTGCAGTATCAAAGCAATTTGGGGAACGCCATCCCTTAAGAAACATGGTCGATGGACTCGTGATGTTACGAGAAGAATGGTCGTGAGATGTCATCGGGGGTCCATGAGTTCCTTTTCGTTCGCTAGCTTCGAGTAAAATGCTTCGAAAAATTTGCTTTCTAAAATCTCGGAGTATTCGTTTGGTACACGGGCAGAAATTTGGAACTTAATTAATTTTAATTGTAATTTATAATTATTCGAGATTTTAGGTTATCCATAAAATGGCAATGCATCGTTTCGAATGAACTTGAGACAATAATATTTTATAAATTAGACTGTCTGCAGAATAAAATATGTATCATAGCTATCGTATTCAAACTTATACCAATTTTTCTGTGGTGTCGTCTGTAGTCTATATTCATTTTTGATTTGTCTAAAATATTTTTCTGTTGTGATGTTTGTAATCTGTAAAGTTCCACATACACATCTATGTTAATTTTATTCGATGTTGTGCAGTGCCATTTATGGAATATTCAACCTTCAAAGTGATATGAAAGTAACATAGCTTTATTGAAAATTATAATTATATAACTGTATCAAATATTTCGGGAATGTTTCAGCACCAAATTTTTGCCCGTGAAGGTAGAAATAAAATATGGAAGTTCTTGGAAATTGTTAATGTGCTGAATTTTAACGAAACTCACGACTGAACAATTTGAGTAAACGTTTTAATAGATATATTTAAAATTTTATATTTTACACGTTAGCAATTTTATAACGTAAATGTTAAGATAACGAACGATTTGAGTTTCGCGGAAACGAAGAAATGGTTCAGTGATCTGGAGAAGTTGATTTGTAGTAGAACGTATAAGCGAAGAGACCGATTACATTTGTGTATTTAATTTATAATCTTATATACGTTGAGGAAAACGTAAAGGGGTGGAAAGATGAAAATAAATATACTTTCGTTTAATTTTAGAGAATTCTGCTTAATTAATTGTCTCAGTATTAACAGTATCTCCGTTCGCAGTATTGTTCCATTGAAAATATGATTTTCAATAAATTAACCTACCCAACAATTGTCCTTATAATTTAAAAATTGTACGAGATAAAAAGATCATTTTCAAATATTATAGTTTTAAAAACTCGAGTATTTGGTGTGGATTAAGAATTTTGATCTATTTCTATTTACTATAATTTTAGATACATGTTTAATAATTTTATTACTTCAATATATTAAATAGGTATTTAAAATCTTTGTAGTACGTTTGGTAATCATGGCTGTAGGTAGAGTTTGATGCCCAGTGTTTTGATTTCATTAATATTATAAAAACACAATTAATTGCATTCCAACAACAGTGGAATAATATTACAATAACTCATCACTTTCTAAAATAATTAAAAAATACAAATATCTTAAAACATTGAAAACTAAAAATATCAGATATAAACTTTTAGAGTAGGGTCAGTTGCCCCAATATGGGATACATTCAACAAGCAACACGTGTTCGTAAAGGAATATTGAAGAAAATATTGTAATCTGAGTTTTTGCAAGGTGATCTTTCACCTAACACTATACATACTAAGGTAAGCGCATGAGTTTTGTGTTAGCTGGATTATTTCTTCAAATATAAATATAAATATATGTCGGAATCCATTAAAAAGTTTTTGTTCTCAAATTGAATGTTACTTCACGTTGTGTTAATAAAGTTATATTGGTTCTAATCGATATTTAAATTCAATCGATGCGAAGAATGTCATCGCAAACGTTCGTCTGGTTGGCGTTGAAGTTTGGATGTGGCCCTTTGAAGGTAGTCGAGTTGGTTGTCTGGTTACCGGAACGTTTAAAAAAAGAAGTATTCGAAAAAGAAAAGAATAGAATTAAAAGGGTTTCCGGACTGAAAGGACGTACGGGAAAATTAGAAACAGAATTCCTGCAAAGGACTCATCGGTTAACGTTGTACATTCTTTCGCGTTGTTAAAGTGTTTGTGTGATAGTTAACAACTATTAGTTTATTTAGTTCAAAGATTTAAGGAAAAAAAGAAATGCATAGAATAACGAGACAGAGGCTTGGTCGCCCGAGAGAATCTAATACAAGTCGCACTAGAGAAATTACCAATGAAACGGGTTCTCCGACATATACATATATGAACATAGTATTCTATATTAAGAGCACTATGAGCCCAACATGGAAAATGAGGACCTCGATAAAAAAAGTAAACATTTCCTAAACTATACTTATTCATATTTAGTCAAAAGAGCATAAAATTTCCTATAAATTCATAATATTTAACTTTTTATAAAAGTTTCGCAAGCAAGTAAAACACTTGTATAAAAAAAAATATTCCATATCAGGGCAATTGATCCTACTATAAAGACCAATCGAAGGTAATTTTGGCAGACAGAAACGTGTGTCTATCTAACTCTTTTAGAGTTGCACTTGCGAAAAGTGCCAACGACGATATATAAACATTATTTTCGGTTGTGGGGCTCAATTACAATCATTTTTAGTGAATACACATACCTCCGAAATCCTACCCATTTTCGAGAAAAAAATTCGAGTAGGAAAATCTAATTAGGTGCCTAAATTTTTCGACGAAAAAGAAAATTTCAAATCGTTCTAGAAAAATTATTTTCGGTTGCGGGGGTCAATTACAATAATTTTTGGTGAAAACACATACCCCTGAAATCTTGAACATTTTTGAGAAAAAAATTCAGTACGGGCGAAACTTTAAACGTTAATAACTTTTTAACGAAGCCTCTATTAACAAATTGGTATTCTTGATTTTCGTCTTATTTTGGCTTCTAGAATCTCTCATTTAAATTTTTCCCAGGGGTGGCCGAACACCCTGTATAGTATAACTTTGGAATTAAGTAAGGTATTGTAATGATTTTTGGTTTATCTGAATTTTTTAAAATTGTTTACAGAGTAATAAACTCTGAAATAGTCCCTAATATGCATTGCTTGTTATTTTTTCATCTATCTTTGTAATTATACCATATTTTGAATTGATTATTTATTAAAAATTCATTGAAAATCAAATACTTATACGTTATACTACGTACCCTACATAAAACTGTGATCAAACAATGATTATTCTTATGTGGAAATATTGTTTGTAGAAGAGAACTTGTTTCTATGTTTTTTATCATATTTTATAATTATGTTATTTATATGATTTGCAATAAATATTGAAATACAATTGCCATTACTTTATTCTTTCTTTATTTCGTAATATGCTGCTTTTTGAATTTTGTAAATATCATTTTTAGTTCGGTTGTTATGAGCTTCTTCTCTAACCAAATCAAATTGGCTCAGTATTCTTCGCATAGGCACCCGTTTTTCGCTCGGCACTAAAAGTGTTAAAGATACCTTAAAAATAATAATCGAACAACTCAGTCTGCTATAGTGGACAGATGCAGGGATTGATAACTCGTCTTCGGTACGAAAACTCAGCGAACCTCGATGTTCGTTCGCCGGACTCCATTGTCGATCGAAAGAACAGTTTCCATCGTTGCGAAGAAACTCGATTTGTCCAACCGCAAGGAAGGGGTTCAAGGTGGCACGGTATTACGTCAAATTACGTCGTTAAACGCGCCGCTCGGGCATTAAGCGCACTCAATTCGTCACTCGAGAAATCAAGGTATCATCGCACCGATGAATCCGCACAAGGGGCGGTTCCATCGTTCCGGGACGCGGACAGGGTAACACGGCAACCCCTCGTCGCACCCCCCCCTGTCCGCACGACAATCCACACGTTGCAGTCTCCGTGCAAAGAACAGCCCCAAACTGCGCCCGTACCGCAGTCACACCACCCCGCCCCAAGTTTTACCTCTGTCCGTGCCTTGAATACAACCCCCGGATGGACTCACCGACAAACAGGGAAGAGGATTAGCGAGTCCATTAAAGTCGCGGACTCTATTATCCAAAGGGCACGGCCACGGTGACATCAACCGCCCGCCAGTGGCGTAGAAACCTCGTCCCCCCCTTTTCAAAATAAAGCTGCAATTTTTTCTTTCAAGAATTTTGCACCCATATTCGCTGCGCGTAAATATTCAAACAGAGTGTTTTAGCGATCGTGCTGATTCCTTGGACAAGGCGAGTAGAAAATGTGAGATTTTATTCTGTAAATTTTTAACATTGAGAAAATTTAGAATAGTGCATACATTATTGGTTGCATTCGTATGTGAAATGTGATAGATATTATTTGTGATAGAATTTTGCTGGCTGTAATGGAAGAAATAAAATTGTAGAAGCTCCAGTAATTATAATGGAAAGAAATTTTATGTGCATGCTTAGTTTTGAAGACTTTTTGTTAATATACGCACATGTGCCTGTTGAGACATGTGAATTTTTAAGCAACCAAGATCGAAGATAAGATTTCACAAATAAAAAGCAGTAAAGAATGAAATATACGTTAGTGATGCCTATGTATTTAATGTCATTACGATGCAATAAAAATATTCCAAGTTTTTATTTTAGAGATACTTGAATTACTGTTCCCCTTCAAACAATATATTTTTATTAAAATGAAAACTCAGGTGAGGAATGGAGCTAATGCGTGTAACGGGCGAAATCGACACGGCCATTACGTTTCGAATTGGAGCATAGAATAAAACGCAAAGAGCAGCTGTTAATGTCGAAACAGACATTATAAAACTGTATATAAGAAACATTTTTTAAGATTCAGCGAGTTCGAAGTCCTCGTCCCTTTCTGGTTTTTTATAATTACATAGACTAAAGATTGTATGAATCGGATGAATTTTTGCTTTAAGATTGTACTTCCAACGAAGTCACCCCTAAAAAAGACGAAACATCGAGTAATAAATTTCTTGAAAATCTGGAAAGTCCAACGATTACACGTATGTATTTTAAATCACTGTGCAAAATTTCTAAACGTCGAGACGAAAGTTCCCCGTCTATTTGTGATTAGTTTCTAATGTTGCAGCTTCCGATCGTTCGCTTCTAATTAAACGACTCGAACGTAATTACCGGGAAACGCAAACTAGAGCCTCACCCCTGCGGCGCAGGAACGAGGACAGATCGACGAGCGCGTTT